AAAAAAAACAATGAGATTAAGTCAAAGTCACATAACTGACAATTTGCACAGACGAATTATCAGAGCGAATTTTCATATACTGTATTATCCTACTATTGTTACACAATTTATTAACATACTCTTTTTTAGGTTCATTTAGGTTCTTTTGATAACGATAGCAGAAAATAGCTATCGAAACGTCAAGGTAATTTTTCAAATTAATTTCTTTACTAATTGGAATTTTCTCTTACAGCTTGAGCCTAAGTGTGTCGCAGGATTCCCTCTAGGTGATAGTTCTTGATTACTTTTTGATAAATCATTCGTTCTTATTGCGAAATAGGAGCACTATTTATCAATCTGTAATAAAAGACGTGAGGAAAATCAAACAAAAATTTTTGAGGCGAAATACCCAACAAGAAGTTTGTAAAAAAATATCCATTTTTACTTGCATAAAGAAAAAAAATCGAATAGTAAATACTGACAGCCCACACCAATCTTGTGCGATTGGGTAATTAGTTGTGTCGCCTACTGGCATCATCATTGCCTATAGTTTTAAACAAATTACTTTTACTTAATTTATAATACAATCAGTTTCGCAATTACCGTGGGCGCTTATGACAATGCGTTTTTAAGTGCTTTCAGTTCTCCAAATTAGTAGTCGACGTGGGTTTGAATGGGATGTAAATTTTCGAAAAGTAAATATAGCCCTGAACATCAAAATGCAATTTTCCATGCGATCGATCCATTGGAGAATATCTTCCCCAAAAATTCGTTACTTTTCGTTTTGCGTTATATTAATTCTGCATGCTTGAAGAAGCATTTTTATTTCAATGAGGTTTAGATCTGGCGATTGAGTTGATTGTCCCCGCATTCATTGCAGTTGTATACGGACTGAGAACTTCACCTTTATGCTGCCAACTCGAACATGTTTATTAATTCATGGTCTTGGAATACACCCAGAAATTATTAGATAATTAAACCTATCCGGTCTTTATATTGTGTCAATTCAATTCTGCTGTTTCATTGTGTTTTAGTTGGTGTTTGAAAACTTTTATTCGATCTTATTGCATTCGCTTTTATGATTTTTAGTTTTTCTTCTTGTATTTTATTTTTCAATTGTGCGCTATTAGCGTAAAGTGCCTAAATTAAGCCAATCTTAATTTAGTCTTATTTGGACAAGTCATATATTTCCAAAAGCAATGAGCAATGAAATAAAATAGCAATCCTGAATATGGGCAATTATTAAAAAACATCAATTTCATCATTAAAAACTCAGTGTTTAAAAGATTTATTTTTCAACCTTCAAGAACGCAATAAATACAAGAATGTTATCAGTTTTTTAATTAATTGTTCAAGTTGATAATATTACGCAGAAATTGGTGGGTGTTCTGCAATACGCAGGATTTGTGGGGCTTTCAATGTAAATATTGTCAAGTTAATTCAATGTTTTTAATTAAGTATTAATCGTTTGGCGTGTCTCAAACTTGTAAACAAATAAATCATAAAAATAATTCGACGGATAAAGTTTGAGAAAAGTTACTCAAGAGATTTAAGTTCAAGTTGAAAAAGCGGGTTTTTAAAATTTGGATGATGCCGAAACTAATTAAACGCTTATGACCACTATTAATTAGTTATTTTAACAAAAGCAGTTATGGTTTAAAATTCAGAGAAAATTTTCCGTGTTGCCGAACTTCGATTTTTCTTATTTGCAATGTAAACTTTTCCTCCAATCATCCAATATTTGCTGCTTTTGTGTACATTAAAAACGTATAATTAATTGCGAATGTCTGATAAAAAGTAACGCTGTCAAACATGCTGCTAATATAATCGGATTTATTTAAAAAAACATCGAATTAATCACTCATCAAATGAAAGATATGTAAATTAAATTATTTTAAATCATAACTAACGGAATATAAATAGAATAACAGGTTTTTACGAAACATAATTTTATTATATAAACTTTTCCAAGTATTTTTGCCAATTCTTGACCTGAATTGCTCGCGTATAACATTAAAAAAAACATTATAATTATTAAAAACATTGCAAAAAGTCCAATTTTAAAATGGATGTCAAAAATGCGAATAGAATTAGAATTTTTCTTCATTCTCACAAACTGAGATGGAAAATTGAATTGAAAATTGACTAACCCCTGCCGATATACGAGGTAGAATCCTTCCTTAATTCTATTGATTTGATTGACTGACTGACTAATTAATATTCAAAATTATGCTAGTTTCTCATACCTCATTAATGAAACCATATAGACGTACGTACATTTCTGAATTAATTATGGGGTCATGCTCTTGAAGAATATCAAAGTTGGGGTCATTAGGGTCAAAGGACGCTTTGTGTAATTAGACATTCCTTGTTAAATGCGATTCACCGTCATAAAACATCAAGCAAAAACAATTCGATTTTTGAACAATTAGTTCAATATGGTTTTCTTTATCTTTAGACATCTTAACGGTGAGGTCAATGTGCGTACAATGTATATGAATTAAAGTTTGCATTGATATTCCACCTAGCATTTTAACGAAATTGGATAGAAACAAGCCAAAAATAGCACATATTTTGCTAAAATGACATCATAGATTGCCGAAACGAAATGATATTATTTTATGTTTTCAATTGGTCGTCGCTGATTTTAGGCTGCACACTCTTTGATTTTACACACCTAGAGGTAAACCTGCCGGATCTCCCAATAAACAATCAGCCCCCAGACTGCACTTAAATCCAGTTTTTTCGCCAGGCAGTTCCATGGATAGAATAGCCACATCCTCGTTTCGCTCTTTGGCCTTTTTAATTCGATCGCCACCAACAGTTTTCGTTTGCAAGTTCATTCTTTTGAATTGATCACTGAGCACTCCCGCCATTTTTTACGCAGCACTAAACACCATATAAAGAACATACACTTCCGGCGCAGTGTTATGTCACATTTGTTTTGGTGCAGCAGCAGCAGATGAAAAGACACTGAAAATCGCCAGGCCCGAGAGTACCGTACAGATTTTTACGAGTGGATTTCACAAAACACGTACTGTCTGTCTGCAGCGCTTGAAGAGAAATATAGAAAAGTTGTTTTGAGTCATCGCGAACATTGCCGAGAAACACGGCGGCGAATTAATTTTATTCCAAAGAAAAATTGGCGTGTCAAGTCGCAGCCACAGGGCAAGGTTAAACTGACTACCTACCTACACGCCAAAAATTTCATAATTACTTTATCAGAGAGTTTAATGAAGTTGCCTGCCGCAAAACTTTCAATTTTTATGTAGATGTTTGTTTGAAAGTTTACCGGGGCAGTTGGATTATAATGCAACTACCTAAACCAGCAGAAAACACAAAAACATTAAAAAAAAAAAATTAAGTGCAGTTTGTGTTTGAAAGCCGACCACTTTATATCGGTGTAACATTACTTTTCCAAGTTTCAAGCCTCTAGATATTTCTCCAAAATCTCCGTTTAATGCTAAAGCACAGCTTATAGAGCTTCTAGAGGCTATAATTTCGCAAAGCCGCTCCAATAATGAAGTTTTTTGCAGCTTATTGCACCTAAAGCTTAACAGCTCTAGGAAATTTAATTAGTAACTCAAAGTTCTTCTAGAGTTTGGAAAATCGCCAAAAATAAACTGTTTGCTTTACAAAGGATCTATTGTATTACTCATAAATTCTCTTTTACGTTGACGAGACAAAATTTCCGGATTTTTTTATTCTACAACCCAAACTGCAGCTTTTCGCAATTTTTAGCGACTTACAAAATTAATTGACCCACTAAAGTTTAAGTTTTAAAATCAAACCATACAAAAATGAAGAATCGTTGTAACTGCCTTCAATTCCGAGATTTCGAACATGTTACGCGTTAAACGTAATGAAAAATTCGCACTTAACTTAACAAAAACTTAAGAAATTTCAAAACAAAATTGCTTCTAGATTTTAAAAAACTGGCAAAAATCAACTTGTAATTTCTAAAACGACTAAGTTATAGCTCTCATAGATTATTGTTTCTATTCTATATGAAAAATGTTAAGCTTTTGTTAGAAGTTTCATAAAACGTTTTTTTATCCTGCCATCCAAATGGACAAAATTGACCAAAATTGCCTTAGATTTTACAAAGCGTTTACTTAATCATCTCAAGTTCCAAACGCTTACAGATCCTGCAAAGAAACTTAATTTTTTTTTTGCGATAGAAGTACAAACTTTACTAGTCATTTAATAACTCGTTTTTAATAAAATTTCAAATAAATTTGACCTTTTCAAAAAAGCCCCTAAAAAATATAAAACTCAGTGCTTCTGGAATTTGAAAAATATCGTTAAAATCAACTCAAAGTTTTCTTAGTTTGTTGGAGAATTTTTTTTAAGCTTTCAGTGATAAATTGTTGCTATAAAAGCTGCCCTAAACTTTTCGTCTATATGTGAAGACAAATTTCAAGGCCCTAAAAATATACTTGTAGTTTTTTCATATTAAACAATTCAAATTGGTCCTCAACCTCAAACAAATGTTTATAAGTAATCATAAAACATTTTTAGAAGCTTTTAAATATTGAAAGTCCTTAGCGGTTTTGCAATGGGAAAAACTGGACATTCAGGTCAAATATCAAGTTCTTTGCAGGTTAAGAGACAAACTCACAACTTCGATTTTTGATAGAACGCAAATATTATTATACGTCCTTATAGACTGTTTTTTAATATTTGCCGAAATATTTCTAGATTTTGATGAATGTTTSTCCACGACAGACATTAATATACAAATTTCCGAAAATAGCCCAAAATTGCCTTTGAACTGTAAATAAACCAAACTACTATCTCAATGGTAAATTTATTTTTCTTCAGCATTCCTCGATTAGCCAGATCTGAAGCCAATCAGATTGTTGGTTACTATGAAATTAATAGCACAGAAAAAATAGATTAATCGTGCCCATCTCAGTCGATCCATCAAAATCTTTAAATAAATAATGTGCATGTCAATCCTTTAAATTTTACGTTAATTCTATTTCGTAATTTAAAAATGAAATTGATAGATGATGTCACTTAAAATATCGACACTGAGAATATCATTTGGACGTTCTTTTAAATATTTTGTACTCTGTTTTTCGGCATAATCCCTTCAAAGTAAACTCTATTTTAAAATATCCAGGTGTGCTTTTAAATAGAACAACGTGTATATTATTCCATATTTGAGTCATTTTTTATCATTCTTTTAATTAACAGTTAATTAATATTAATAATATAAATAATAATTAACAATTAACARATTTTTGAAATAAACATGGACAGGGTATTTCAAAAACGAGCCTCATCATTGGCAATATGAACATATAAAAGTTATGGCTCAATAATCCATATGGTCACTGTTAGYTTCTGTTTCTTCATGTAAAATTAAATTATGTAGTAAAATTTGAGCCGCAAAATGTTTCCATTAGTTTTCAATAGTTAAAACAAAGAAACCTAGTTTTGAAGACAAACGACATTTAATGCTTTCTACGGCTAATCGAAAATACATTAAATCCATTAGTTACTGCCTTCCAGTTCCCAGTTTCATTCACATTAGGTCCCAGATGTCATCAATTTGCATTAGTTACCTGTATATTCTTGTGCGACCAGAACACGCAATCTGACAATAAATGGGAGGATAAACGATAAGGTCGTCATGAGAATGAATGACTAAAATGGTCGTAAACTGAACCGAATGTCTGACGTATTTTGAAATGGTAACTATTGCCATTTAGGGAAATCAATCCCCGTTGTCTCACTCTCACATTGAATATATTTGAATTCTTCGAGTACCAAAGTGGTTTCTCGTCTGGAGTATCTAATTATTTGCAAATATTGCATTGGCGTAGGTAGTCACATATTTACATTAGTACCGTTCAGGAGCTAAAACATCATGTATAATTTGTGAACAAATCGAACCAATGAATTTCAATTTGAGAACAGATATAGTCAATATTTATCAGCTTAAAAGCAGTTTGTTCTCTTTTGTGTTTTTATTTATATCACATTGGCAACTAATTTATTAGATATAAAACAAAATATAATATCAATACTTAAAAATTTGTATTTAAATGCTATTTGGTTTTTTATGACCCAATAATGTGATTATTATAAATATGTATATGTATTATTGGTTATGAGCCTTAATACCCTCGTAAATCAATTTGTTTATCCAAAATGTGAAATAATATTTATTACATAGTTTTAGCCTTCTGACTCACAGCTGAAAATAAATCACTTTAGATGCAAATTGTGTGGTACTTTGAAATAATCAGTAGTTGAAAAGTTGGTTTTACTTGATAACACTGATGTTTGCTAATTCGCTTTGATTTGCGGCCCATATTACAAAGTAAATAGGAAAATATGACCTTTCTTGTTAGAGGAAGCGATCTACAGGATGTTTTTGAAGTAATAGTTAAATAATGCATACAACGTGAACCATAATTAGGTTAAAAATATTAAAAATATTATGTTAGGAGACGTTCAAGATGAACAGGATAAAAATCCAGGGTGTATCAGATGTACTTAAAATGTTGGAATGTATTAATTTAAGTATTGGAAACAATAGGAAATAATTGAAATAAAATCGTGTTTTAAACGAAACAATGTTTCGACAGATATTAATGACCCATTTTCTCGCACAAATTCAATTATATCAGTGGCGTTCTCTGCGTATGTATTCTGATGTTTGTTTACAAGAGAAAACATGTGATCCCTTGTCTGACCCTATAAAAAAATACCTATTGTTTCATTGATTTACACACGAAAAGTTATGTAATAAGAATGACATATTTTGTTGCGCCGTGTTCGATAGAATTGCCAAAAGCCGTTTTTATTTACAACTTTTATTGATTTACGCGTAAGTTGCAACCATAGACCTCGACTTTTCAATGAATCTGAAACGACCAGGATTTTCGTAAGAAAATATTTACATCTATATTTTCATTTACTTATCATACACTGAAAGTGTTTTTGCTCTAAAGTTCCACTGCTTAAAAATGAGAATCAATTGTCGTTAGCAGCAAAATCATTGAAATTTTCTATACAATGCCTTTTTCAATGTCGACCCATATAGAAGATAACCTAGCTCAACATTGGCCTGTCCAAACTCACCTGCTTCTATATGCACCATAATTTATTAGGTCAAGACCAATTTAAAATGATATAATAAATTAGAAAAGTTGGCAACTTGAATGGAACAAACTAAAAATAGACGAACAATGTACAGTATTTACTAACAACCGCTCCAATCTGGATGAAAGTTGAAATTTACGATGGTATTTTTTTTCAATTTCCATTATTTCATTCGGGCCGTAGGTGTGAAATGACATCATATTTCAGAATAACACTTAATGTAAATAACGGCGTATGCGGCATGTCATGACTTACTGGTTTTCTTCGGGACGGTTTTATTTATTGCCCATGGTCGAAAAGTACTAAATAAAGTGGTTTCTCAACCCACATTGTCCAACCAGTGACGTTCAACAGAAGAATTAACATTACGCACGAAACAAAAATATATTAATTGCTCATAGTAAACCAGTGTGTGGAATGGAATTTGCATTCCTCTGCTTCCTGCAAGTTGCTCTTGTAAATTACTACTTACCAGCCCTGAAGATTTCGTGGCATCCATCACACCTGGACGCAAACTGCTCATCGTAGCAACGTCCACAGTAGATACGATCTCCTTTAGAGCCAAATTGCTTATCTACCAAAGATTGCGCACAGGTGGTGCACAAGAAGCATGCTTCATGCCAATGCTTGTCTTTATAGGAGAGATCCTGAAATGAATCAGTGGTAAAGCCTTATAAGGACCTATTGATCTAAACTGAACTTCCACTTAGTATGATTAAATTTACCGCAATATTTATTGTATTTTGTTGTGCCATATGAGAAAAAGTCAATTGTGAGTTTTGTAAGTATTCGCACAGTATTTAGTCAGTTTGGCGAGTAAAACTTATTTATATGAAACGCATAATGCGTAATTGAAAAACTGACTAAAAATTGCATTATGTGTGAAATGTTTGAATTATTCTTACGTTCGTTGTTTTGACTTTCCCATTTTAGTGAGTTTTGTTGAGTTTGAACAATAAAGGGATTTCCGACTAAATGTTCGTCAAAAATTATTCCATCGAACCAAAACAATGTGAAAATATGACTTTTATGCAAAAACAAGTTCGAAATTCGGCAAACGTCGTTCTCAGTAATGAAAACGTAATCTATTTCTGGTTTAATATTCCACCCGCATTATACTTAATTCTTCTTGTATTTTTTCTGTGTTATATCTTATTTCTTTGTTATCCTATGCAAATTTTCAACTTTCTCTTGTTTTTCTTTCAAAAGTAATAAAGAAACTGAAGCCTGAATCATTGCAAACCCCGGTTGGTTTCGTCAGCAGTGCTTTCACAAACTTCAACGGAAAATTTTATACAATAAGCTAAAATAAGATGATAATAATAATAAGTGTGCAATAAAAAGGTTGCAAAATAAGGCAATTGATAATAAAATCGGCCAGTAGCTCATAATCCAAGCTCTGGAATATGTGATGCCAGTTTCCCCTGACTATTTCATGTCGCAAAAAATAATGAAAAATCCGTTATTTTCGATCCAAACCTAGTAAATTCCTGCTACACAATTTGGTGATAAACTAACAATTGAAAAAGTAAAGAAAATAGATCAACAAAAGTACCTTTGAGTCGATTCCAATAGTCCTGCTGCACTTTTCGCAGGCATTAGCAAAGACAGATTCGTAGCAGGATACGCAGTATGGATGATCATCCCGCAAAACGTAGCGTTGTCCTGTTAGACTTTCGTCGCATTGCCAGCAGCAAAAGTGTTGTCCATGCCAGTCCTTGTTGTTGGCTTTCGTGTACTCGCCACTGAAAATAAGCTGGAAATAAAAGAAACGTTTTTAAACCAGTTGGTCGGAAAGCGAAATTTTATTTCTACCTCTGGGACCCGTTTAATGACTATATTCGACATATTAATGACTATATTCGGAGCAAGTTGATACTACTATTCCACCGGATTAACGCTTTATCCGAGATTATTTTTTTATCTAAGCAGTCACCATTTAGTGCGAATGAAATCACATGGTCCTATTTCTACAATTATTATAACATCTGCTTATTTAATCTGTCGGTTGCATGAATTTTATTAGATTCCAAAATAATTATTTGATATATAAAATTAATCGGAGATGAAGATACCGATTCTAAAACATTAAGTCAAGAAGAAGTTTATTACAGAAACTTGTTTGATTGAATGTCTAAAACATTAGCTATTTTCTAGAATTAAGCTTTATTCCTAATAGCATGGAACGAATTCGTGTCAAGTATATATAAACCTTATAAAGGGCCATGACTTTGAAAATAGAATCCGATTTTGCGGTCATGACATAGAGCTATCTATCCATTGCCCTGGCACTAACATCCGGCTGATTTTCATATGCGACTTACTAAGTCTCATAAAGTAACATTAATATTCCGATATGCAGCTATTGCAAATTTACAGCAAAAATCAGCTTTACCTGCTGGATGACGAAATTTTCCTGTACAATTTTTCTTTAAATTGGATATTATCACTTGTGTTTCTAAACGACATCCTATCAAGTAACATTTTTACAAAAATATTTAATTTGTATTTATAGTATGTATGCGTAATACTACCCAAATTATATATTTTTTAAACTGTTTCCATATTATCTATAAGACGGTGCGGGATTCTTGAAGATTCACGTTTTCACTAAACTCCCATATTAAAAAAAATTGTCACATTCAATTTAATGAAAAACTATACTCAGTGTAACAGTTTTTTTCTTTGCCACATTAGGTTACTATTTTATTTTCGAACAATTCCTGAGAGTTCGATAATAAAGTAACTTATAAAAAGATAATGTTTTAATGATTCTTGACTGAATGATTTGAGACACCGAATAATGAGAAATAGTTCTAAGAAAATTAGAGAATGCTTTCCAGTATAAAACACGATAAAACTGTTTCATCAAAGTTAAATATTTAAAAAATAATCGAAAATTAGAAAAAATGCATGCAAAATGTTACATTGAAACACAATTGAAATTGAGATTTACAAATTTTTCTTAATAAGCACTGAGCCTCCAATTCAAAACAGCATAACAAAACATGTACGTTTGCAACAGGAAAGTTTTCCTGGTATGTAAATAAGTTGACTAAGTAAGTAAGTAAGCAAGTGAAAACTGTAGGAAAACCTACGTGTACTCTCTTACTGTCAGACACTGGGTATTTAATATTTGTCTTTGATGTTTCACGGCAGCAAATCTCTATTTTTACCTGCTTATTTGCTAAAGCTGCTATCGAATCTCGATTGAAACTAATATGAATTATTTTTTCAAAGAAGTTAATGAATTTACTTTGCTCTACTGGCACATTTACCTGTTGATTGTTTCATTTTCTTCTTCATAGAAACGAGAAAAGAAGGACTCATTTTTCACTTTAATACATGTTCATATTTCGGTAAGATATAAAAAGCTTGCGTGCTTCAAAACCATGGCGTTCAGTTATTAAATAACAAGGTTACAATTAAATGAAATAAGCCGAGAAAAAGTACTGAAATTATAAATACCTGAAAAACATATCTAACTAAATAAAGTTAATAGCAAATGTGCACTCAGATTAAAACTATGTATTTTGAAGAACTAATTTACGGCGGAAAATTGATAAGTACCTGCAATTAATACAGGGGGTATGTATTTGGCATGTCTTGTTGAAACAGTGGAAAACAGTAGACAATGTGGCAATAAACGTGTCTTTCTTCACTTACCGTTTGTTGAAGCTGACTTAAAATTTTGTTTCGATTTCCACTCAAAACCCTTAATTTCCCACATTTCAATATACAAATATTCAAGTACTTTCTACAATATCAAATCAGACAGAAGCATCGATGCAAAAAAAAATCAATCGAAAATCTAATTCGAAATTCCAGACATTCAGCATTGAAATTATGCTAATCGATTGTATGTGTAGCCGGTCAGTTTACCTTGCGACAGTGTAATGGGATGCAACCAAAACGAAATCGTTGCAGAAATAAAAATAATGCATATAAAACCTGATCCACCTTCAACCTGCCCTCGATAAATCTATAAAAATCGGCTCCTTGAGCGACAATTAGTGTAAAACATCTGGTTCGTGCAATTATCCACATATACACAGTGATTTCCTGCTTAAATATTTTCACGTGCATTCAATGAGAGGTTTAAACATTAAATGTACTTTTTAATGCAATTTTAAGATGCGCAACCCCGTATTTAAGAGTCAATCAGGCAAATCAATAGTGCAAGTAATTGGCTTTAAGTATTAAAGTAAATCACCTCCCAATGGTATTAATTGGCTGTTTTTAGCGTAGGTGAATCCTGCTTGTACGTTTTCTAATTTGACTGTGTTTTTTTCACAAATCCAACACCATGGCCGTTTAAAAGTCGGGGTCAAATTACAATATTGTTAGCGCAAAGGCTACGGAACAGCATGATGTATGATGGGCGATTTTTTATAATTTTCCAATCCCATTTCAATAATTGTGCCGTTACCTTTTATTTATCGGCAATATATCAGTATTGTCATTTAGTTATTAAATGCCTTTTCTGAATTTAACGACGATTTACTTGAGATAAACAAGCTGGGCCAAGGATTACTCATTGAGCAATTATATTGCTAACAGTGTGAACTAAAGCGTAGGTGATTTTTATTTGGGCAAGTGGTTAAATGGAATGGTTTTGGGTTTTAATATGGAAATTTGTTAAACATTTAGACCGTTTTAATATTTCATTATTGTTGTTAGTAAAACTAATTTTATTTAGTTTTACTACGATAGTCATGAATAGTTTGTGAATAGTAGCAGTAATATCAGACAAGCTTGGAGCTTCAGCTTCCCAAAAAGCCTATAGTTTTTCCATCTTTTTGCTAGCAATACTGGCAATTATTGTTTGTAGTTGTTCTGACTGCCTCATGACGAATTTTGATTAAACATTAATTTTAAACGGAATGATTCAAAACTGGCGTCATTCAATTGAAGGTTTTTTGGTAACAAATAAAATCGTTTTAATTTATGCGTTTGCTCTTTGTTTTTATTGCTAAACACTTTGAAGTGGCCTTTAAAATTCCAAGATGGTTCAGGTGCATTTGATGTGAACAAAATGTTTTTTTAACATGCAGCATAGCCTTAGAGTTCATTTTTATGTTTTATTTCATAACGAGTTACTTTTACGGTTTTAGTTGTTTTCTATGAGATTTCATGACTCTGTCGTTTTTTTTTCAAAGCTTGGTTTGGAATGAGTTTGAAAATTACATTTTCTGTTTAGAAAACCGTCCCTTTCCGATGATTCCCTATTAGCGGCCGATCAGTTTGTGCAAATTATATGTTGGCTTATTCAATGCTTTTTGTTGTTGAATGTTTATCTGTGTGCTGTTCTCACAAATAAAGCATGTTCATTGACTTATATTAGTTGCAAATTAATGCAATTTACAGACTAAAATCCACTTGAATTCTCATTCGTTTGAACACCTAAAGAAGAGTTTAAGATTACTTTTGCCCCCATTAAATAAACTATACTGACGCAGTTAAAAAGATGACTTCCACAGGCAAAACTATGCAAAAAATCAAATCAATCAGCCTCATTTTCAACACAGTTACTCTTTCTAATTCCCGCAAAGAAACGCATGTCAACCTCAGCCAGCTCCGCAGAAGTTCTCTGCAATGAACAAGTTGCCAACAGGTGGCAAAGAATAAACAATTAAGACCGATCCAAATCTAAACTTCGAGTGCAAACGACGTAATCGAAGTGTTTAAAATGGGAGTCGTTCCAGGGAAACTCTCCAAACCAGCGAGTTTATATTTAGCAGCAGTCGTTTCAGTAAAATTTCAGTTTCAGTTGCAAAACAAGCTGGTTGAGGAATTTGCTTGTCAAATAAAACGGATCTACTATGTAAACTGGACGGATAACAGGAATTTCTATATTGCGAAATTACGCAAGTTTGAATGGCAAAGAAGAGCCAGGCGGGTAATTTGATAGGTGATAAAAGAGTTGAAGAATGAGAATCTTTATTAGGAAAAAGTTATTTCACAAAAAAATACCAAAATAATTGTGTTTCTGAAAAAACGTTTGGCAGGATTCCCATTTTTTGCCAGATGCATCTAAAAATCTTGGCCTAGATAACAATTTGAAAACGGATTTTAGTGGGAAGCAAGTTGTCAACAGTGTTTTGGGCGCAGAAATGGAATGGAATGGAAGCAAGAAAGTTGAAATCTGAGAGACTTTCAACACTTTTACTTTGCCACATCGACTACATAAAATGGTGTTCTCTATGCGAGAAGAGGAGATGAGAAGTGTCCATTTGGATGATGGTCCACTTTATGCCAAAACATACCCCCTGGTTCCTCCGTTGGTTTCCGTAATGGTGGTCACTTCGTTTCCAGTATCGTCTTGCGTTTGACGCTTGGAGACCTTTTTCACCTTCTTCGTCTTTTTCTCAGTGATGGTGAAATTGGCGTTCGTGTAAGCATCGACGTCACCCATTTTCGCTCGCTTTTTGGTGGGTTCGGATTTTCGGAAAAACTGAACGAATCACGCGCGCTTACCGACCTAGCTTGATCTCACGACTGGATTCTGTAAAAGTGTTGAAAACGGCCCGAGAGCTGATTTTCTCTGCGGTATTTTTAGAAAATGATAGAAGAACGCCGTGTGGTGCCGGGTGCAATTGATTTTGGTGGCTGTTTCGCGAAGACAAAAATAAATTAAATGCCTTTTGACGTAATCGATTAATCCCAATTTCACTTTTTGCCATACGATCTGCCGAGCAGAATAAAACGGATGTCATTTCTCATTATGGAAAACAATCGGTGGTTATCGAAATCAATTACCCTGCAAAATCTATGAGGAACCGTTCCTCCAGTAATTTTTTCTACTATTGACACCTTGCATCTGGTGAATTTACTGAGACTGTCAGGGAAAAACGATAATTTTATGCACTCTTCATGATTTACTCAAAAGCTTCAGCCGATTTGCAATTTAATGTCTACCACAATTTTTCCTTCAATTCCTTTCGTCAATTTAGATAACTCATAGTTTCTTTTGCCTTTCCAGTCATTCTTCTACTACTTTTATCCCTTTTTCTTTAGCTTAGCTGCGTCTAATATTTTTCTAACGTAAGGAGACGCACTAAATACAGAGAACGAATAGAGACATTTTTCAGTTTAACTTCAGCGATGTTCAAATTGCCATTCTATTTTCTGAGTTCTTTGCTGGGTTTGTTTCACTCGAATAGACAAAAATGAATTTTGCAATAAAATCGGCGTTCGTTAACGAAATCGATTTGAATATTTTGAAATCAGCATGCTTAAATTTAGAAGTTCTGTTGACTAATCCCGATATTTGGCACATCGCCTTGTTTACAGCATCCACCGCCGATATCAACGGCACACTTGAAAACTGACCTCTCTGTCTCATCTGCAAAAACCTTCACTTAGTGTGTCAGTATGTTCAACTATTTAATCGACGTAAGAAACATGCTCGATGTAGAACATTGCTAACATAAGTAACCCATTTATACAGGGTGGCCGTATTCACATCAGATCATTTTCTTAGCTACAACAACAAAAACGAGGTTGCTTCTAGTATATTTTAAAATTAATATGTCCAATACAGAGTTAAAGAAAGTCAGACTCAATATAAAATAAATGTTTTAAGAAAAATAGGAAAACGCACCGTTTCAGACCAACGTAACTCAAGTCCTCGTTTGAACTTGGCATTGGTAGAATAAATTGCAATTCTTTCAGTTAAAATATTGTTTTTGTGTAAACGGCAAACAACGAACAAATATTGGATATAATATTAACTAAATTTTATAAAAAAGTGTTTATTATTATCAAACATTTTCAAGTAATTCGGTGTGAATATTGTGTTTTGTTTGCTGGCGTCTTCGACAAATATCCTCCATTTCGAAGAGGAAACAAGCACAGAAGCCAATTAACAACCACATTAAACCCGCAATTTTTTTTAGCAAAAATGTGTTTACTGTCATAAAACATTTTCAAATTATTCACTGGCATTTTCGGCAAACATCCGCAATCTCCAAGAGGAAATAAGCGAAACAGGCACACAAGCCAATTGACCACCGTATTAAACTTGTAAATTACGAATTTTAAAATTCTTGTACTAAAAACGAACTTCATTTTGCGAATATTTTAAATCGATCCCAAAATACCCACTCTGTATATGGAAAAAACTACGCAAATTCCAACGTTCCATCGTCCGTCCACTTTATCAACATTGTCCAAAGAATGTTGTTTTTTGCGCACAAATGTCGCAATCGTAATAAAAGGCAAACTCACTACAAACAGCTGATATATTTTGCTTTAAAGGTTAAATAAGCAGTTTTCATTCAGCACTACAAACCATTAAGTTTTTTCAACGATTTACCCAAAACGGTTCTCCCAACTTGGGGCCACCAGAATCTTCGTTCGTGTTTCTCGTTGATGATAATTCAGTTGCGGCATCTAGTTGCATTGAATCTATGAACGCAAAAAAGACAACAGTTGCACATTGATTCATGTTCGCTTACTACCTAACTTTCGGCGGTTCTTGTTTCGTTTTCTTTTCACGCTCTTTTTCTTTATGCATCCTTTTTGTGTATCAACATCCTCAAGATTGTTCCCGGTGTCTTCTGGGCAACGCCCTTCAGCTTCCGCTTCATCTTCATCACTGGAACGTTCGCCTTCTTTAGAGAGCTCTAAGCTAGAAGCTGCTCGTTGGACAGCTGGGCCGTCAGCGCTCAAGTTAACCACTCTGGATTCTGATAGGGAAATTCTTCGCCGTTCCAAGTGGGCAGGTTGTTTGCTCAGCTTCCGTATGCCTGGAGATGGAGACCTAGACTTCGATTTCCTTGGAGGAACAATTAGAGCCTTCGCTTCCCAGTACTCAGTCGAGCAATGAGCTACCCGGCTGCTATCTAGAAGAACATTAACTTTTTCTGAGCAATTGGCTGCTTCAAAAGCCAAATTGGCGTTAACTGGAGATCCGGAGTTAGATCTGGATGGCTCGTCCACTTCAGCGCAGTCGTCCAGCAGCTCACTGCAGACACTGTTTCTGGGAGCTGTTAAATCAAAGCTGGGGAAGGGAGATGGTGATCTTCTGAAGTACAACTCTCCATCAACTTCAACAACTGTATGTCCCAGTTTCTTCCTGAACACATCGGTTTTGACCTCTGCAGTACCGTTGTGTTCTGAGACGACAAATTTCTCAGGTAATGGCAGAGGAACTGGTCCATTTTCGTCTTTCAGAACATACCGAAGCACATCGTCTCGTGGCTCCTCTTCGATGAGATACTCTGGTAAGCATTCTTGGGCTTTGGATTTTTGAATTCCTTGCGGTTCCTCTAAGACGACGAATTGACGAGTTGAGGCAGCATCTTCGTGCTTCTTTTCGGACACCAAAAACCTCCTTGGCGAGGAGGAGCGAGATCGTGCTACCACCCGATTACTAAATTCAACTTCTATATCTTCGTGACTGTTGAGCCTGAACGTGGGGAGTTTGGCGGATTGGGGATTTTTATTGAGCTCAACCAACTGGTTTTCCAACTTATCCCTAATGGTTTCCAGTTGCTTAAAGTGCGAGTGGTGAACAGTGGCAAGACTTGATTCAATTGGCTGATAGTTCACCCGTCTTCGCACATTCTGGTAGAATGTCAGCAGCTCTACGACACCTACACAAGTCACTAAAATAGACAGCAGCAGACCCATTTTCCTCCGTGTTACTTTGTTATGTCAAATATGCGTGCGCAAAACACAGAATTTCCCCATAATTTCGTTATTTCAATCCAGAATCACCACACACGCGTCTTTCACAGGCACCGAACAAACAACTGTGCCAATTATTTGGCTGGGGCTCTAACTAGAAACTTCGTTACTTAATCGTTAATTACTAATAAAAAAATATGTCAACTATTCTTGATCGATCGATTAAAGCTCAGTGTCAAGTCTTAAAGTGTAGAGTGCGGGCCGAAAAAAAGTTAATTAAAAAACAACACGGAGCTTTGTCGGAAAATTAAATAACCGATAGTTATCAGCGATTTGGTCTGACGTCAAAAAGTGGCAAAATAAAAACGTCGCCGACATTTAGAACTTTTGCCAATACATATGAGGTTGTCGCATAATTTATTTCAACAATGCAACTGTATAGTGTACATGAATAAAGTTCAAACTATAGAGCTGATCACGCATCTAGTCTGGGTGGAAAAGTCATTCCATGTAAAAAAGTCGCCAACAAAGCTGCTCAATCCATTAATAAATAAATATATAAACAACTACTGTTATCTAGTTTGAACAAAGTTTTCCGAAATCAAAGTTGTTTGCTTTCGTTTAATTAAATGTATTAGTACTGCAACCCAACAGCAGTGGACGGGTTGAAAAGCAAAAAGATTTTTATAAAATACCGTGTTGGTTTGACCAAGAGTGGGTTCAAAAAATAGCCACATGTTATAATAATCATCCTTAATATGGATGATTTTTTCCAGTAAATCCACTTTACAAATTGCTTTGGATCACAAACATTCAAACAAGTAAATGTGTGTAACAAGGTATCTATATTTCTAAATCACGATTTCCATGTAATTTTAAGGCATTTGACGCATAAAATTAATGAAAAGTTAAAGACCGTAGGGATCGGTCTAAAAATTTGGAACAGGAATAGAGAATTGAAATTGGATGAAAAAATCAATTTAATGTTTGAATTTTTCGAATGGTATTTTTTTTAATGAACAGCACAGCGTAAAAATAATATGTAAATTGAACATGTCAATTAAGTTTACGCAAAGTTCGCATATTTCCTATTGAATATTGAACTGACGTTGGGAAATTTTTAGAGCGTATGCCATCGAAACATCTGAAAATGCGCGAACACTCGTGGTTGCAAAACAACCTAAAAGATCGAAAAATTCACCAGTTTTAAAGCTTAAGCATTGCTACAAGATTGATACAAGAGCCCAAACATTTTCTTCATCAAAGTGCATCAACTGAAAAAAAATCAGTTGATTCCAGCTACCAAATAAAAAGCTCTGGTAGTTCTGTACCAAGACACTCAAGAAAGAAATGCTCACTTGCCCAAAACTCGGATGTGCCATCAAAACACAAGTCTTACACAGGAACAAATTTACAGCGAGTTTTATTAAAATCCATCGTACTATTATCCCGATATTTAAAAAAACATAATTTATTTTGAAGAACTTTGACCATCAATAGCAGAGAAGCCGGACATTTTTTCATAATAAAAGTTAGGTCGTGTGGTCTGCATTTGAGATAAAGAATGTATCTGTGTTCTTTTTGATCATGTGCTTTCGGGACACCCTGTATAATTTTGCGCATTTTCTTTATCGCTGATGTTTTGTTGATGTATGATCAAAGTTGAAAAATCCGCAGTACTTTGTATAGTGAATCTACCGAATTATCGTTATTCCGAGGTTTTCTTAATTTTTATCACTAACCAACATACAATTTTTTTCGCAAAATTATTTTTATTACCTATAAATAAAAAACCCAATCATTTCTGAGCATCTAATACGACCTGAAACGAAGTGACGACGCGTTTGATGATTTAAATCAGGATTTTTTATTTGTTATTTTCATGGGTAGCATAGACTATTAACATCGTGCCACCAAGAAACCGAATATTCTGCATAAACTACCCCTTGTTTTTATTATACAATATTAAATTAAAAACGTGTTCCTTCTCACAAGCGCCTTCTCTCAAACGGTTTGTTTAGACCTTTTAACTTACCAAAATCGATTCATACTTATTATTTCAACTTTTCAGGCTGCACTTACAAATCGATTGTCTGATTTGTTGGTGCAAATAATGATAAATTTAGTTATTTATGAAAAAATGTTAAAATATTAAACGACCGATTTTTTTTTTGGTAGTTTCACTATGAAATTTCATAAAATACACCTCGAATTAAAGAAAGCCAATTTTCATGTAAAAAGTGTTTAACCAAATTTATAAACAGCAGGCAGTCAATGAAAAAGCAATAAAAACAAAACGTAAACATAGTATCAGCGAAGGTAAAAAAAATGAATTTAAAATGATTATGCTTATTTTGAATTGCTTTATTTGAACCTACAGTCAGAATTAATTTGTGGGAGTACAAGGCAAACACATTTTTCAAGATAACATGTCGTCAAATCGATAAAACTCACACCTACTAATCCGTTTATAAGGTAACCCAGTACTAAGAAAGAGGATGTAGCCAAAAGTTTTTATATATTATTCGTAAAAAAAAACAGCTCGTAAAAACTTTAATAAAACACAAAACAATAGCGGTTGAAAAGCCGAATACTAAATCAGTGAGCAATCAATACAGCAGATTCCAAAGTAAACGGATACCCTAAGCAACACTTACAAAGTGTTCAGTAAAATAAATGGCAAATGTAATGTTTAATGTGTTTAAAAGAGATGACGGCCACTCAAATTAGGTGTTTCTATCTTATTCGAACCATTAAGTACATATGATATTTTAGAACCAAAATATGTTTTCGTTTTAACAAGATTTTTGGTACCAAAAATGTTAAGAGATTTCTCAAAAAATGAGATAGTTTTGCATAGAAAGGTTTGGGAAAAAATAAAAGCTATTTCTGTTCGAGTTACTTTAGGAATTAAATTAATTTTAAAAACTAATTTAAAGCGGCATCACATAACAAAACGTAACAAAGCATTACATAACAGACGAGTGAAAGTTGGGTACAACTATGTAAAACGTGACGTGCTTTAAAAATATTAAAGAAACTATTGAGTCATGTTTAAAAAAAACATAACACTTTCAGTCAAAATTACCGGACAAAAATCAACTGTTTCCGAGCCACTTTCCGCAAAATTAAGCATCTTAATAAAAATAAACTAAAAATTTAAGCGAGCAATGTAACATGAGCGCAATACAGTGGCTATTTTAACTATCACAACGTGCCTCAGAGCTCGGAAGCTCGGACGAACTTGGACAGTTTTCATCGTCAACAGGTGCTGCCTCTTCAGATCGCCCTCCAGTGAACCTCGGACTCTCAGTAGTCAAATGGACGCTGCCGACGCTGAACATCGGCAGCGTCGTTGCATTTGCAACCCGAGACGCCGACCATTTTTGGCGAATAGGTCCTGGCAGGCTAAATAATTGCGAGCCGTGTGCAAATCGTACAGCATATTATCAAGCTCTCAGATTGTTTTTTTTTTAATATATCTCCGTCGAGATACGAAACAACGATAATTAACGTTAATAGCATTATTATTTGGAAGAAAATCGTTTCTTAATGCTCATTTGCCATGCCAACAAGTTCATTATAACTATGTGCAGGTAATCTTGGCGCGCTACCATACATGCTATTGGATCTTTTACAAATTGTTGCAATGCTACTACATGAGCCAACTTTGCGGGTAGATTGATTCGAAACCTCATTATATGAATAGCAAATGCAATAAAAATCGCTATCGGTTGCAATATTTTAGGCAAACTCAAAAGCTGCTCGATATCAATCAATTTGTTTAGTTACTAGAAAACGCGAGGTGAATAAATAAAAAAACTCCCAAGTGTATATATTGATTGTTCGAAATTCATTCGTATTCAGGCCGTTCAATTGCAAATTTCTCTTTCAATGCTTTATTACGTAGGTTTAGATTTTCAGTCATCATAAGCCGATAAAATTATTAATACAAAATATCTAGAGCAATAATAATAACAGAATCAAATAATGTTATGAAAACTCTCGAGTTTATCAAAGGAATATCGACTAAGCGTATTGAACGCAAAAACGTTAAAAAATTACGTTTATTCTCTCCATATGATTTAACTTTGTTCTTAACATGAGCAAGATCTTGTTTTTTCTTATCTACATCTTTCAACATCATTTATTACCCTTATTATCATTATCCACTCTTCTTCATTGCATGTACCCGACAAAAGACAAACATGTTTGGTATCATTTGGGACATTTGCATGATTTGATTTTTTTATTTCTGTTTATAAAACCTGATTACATTGTATTGTTTGTTTTTTCATATCAATACCTAATTGTTCAATGTCCAAATTTTATACTCTAAATTCATTAAAATGCTCTCAATTGTTTGTATTCGATTAATCGCATTTTCATTTGTGTTGTAATTGTTTACCAGCGATACTTACATTTTTGTTACATTTCATTTTATTTCTCTGATTTGCTTTGAGTTTGCTTCAAGCTTGTAGTTTTACAAGGAAATCAATTTAATCTATACTTAAACTTCGAGCGTTGAAGATATTTAATACTAGCAAAAACAAAACGCTGTTTTATTTCGTTCCTTCCCACAATCAAAATTCCTCCATATTTGCATAAAATTTAGTATAAAACCGCCACGAAAAAACTGAGTGTTCAAACGAGGAAAATAAATTTACCGAAATCTTAACTAATATTTTAAAGAATAAAGCAATTTTTAAAGTATGAATATTAAAACATGTCTAAATGAAGTTTTGCACTCATCCTCTTACTATCCAGTTCAGTGCCAATTCGCACTAAAACATTTGAGATTTAAAAGTAAATAAACACTATTTATATAATATTGCCCCAACGAATGTAATTGGCTACGGCTCAAAACAATATGGGATTCATCATTTGTCTTTTTAGCTGTATATACTCAAACATATCGGGGTCACTATTAAAGAAAGCTCTTTCGTTAGATGATCAATTGGTCAAATGCTCGATAATACTGAATGAATCTGAAAAATCCACGTAGGTGTTCTTCCCACTAACAACCCATGTAAAACGATAAATTTCGGAAAATGCAGAGCTATTTTTAAAGATGAATATATGGTTCAATGTGAAACCATAATTACCGTTTAAATTTAAGTATCTAATATTCGTCTGAGGCGGAACAATCCGTTCGCTTGTAATTAAGTTTTAGCATTGTAATATTAATAACTATTGCAATAAATAGAGTTACTTAACATTTTCATTGCATTATTTGCTACATTAATGTCTCAGAGAAAGGATTTGCGAAAATTTCACAATGTTCAAAGACATTCGCCGAAATGTGCAGATTTCAAGTTTTGCTCACAATTATATGCGGTGTCAATAAATTGATCCAAATTTGCCACTTTGGTAAAGTTGTGGATAAGAAAAGTACAAATTAACCCAATACTTCCGAGAGTAAAGCATAAGAAAACTGAACATCCAGCACTTACATGAATAATCCCTGTATTTAAAAAGCCCTAATGCCTAAATAATAAAGCATTGCCGATTTGAGAGACAGAAAACTTCACTACGTCTTTCAGCAAAATAGAATAGCAACAAGACAATTACACCTCTTGAAATCCTGAGATTTACAATCTAAGACTAAGCTGGTGAGGTTTAAAAAAATCGCTCTTACCTCATCACAGCCAGCACAACGGGGTTTCATCTTTTCAGCGTAGTGTCTTTCGCAGTAAAGTGACTCTTCATAGACGCAGTAGGCGAGATCTACAAGAAGATCTTCACATTCTGTACATTTGAAGCAGCCTGGATGCCACACCATGTTGCCCAGTCTGGGAGCAGTCACCACTATCTGTTGGGTGGAAGTTGGGCGTTCACAACCGGCACAAAAGCTGTTGGGGGGCGCCTGTTTGGCCAGCCCGACATCAAGGGCCACTTCATTTCGGGCGGCAATAAAATCCTAAAAAAGATAAAATTACATTAAGAAAATGCTTCACCAATTTCTTCAGAACTAGAAGTATCCTAAAGATGGACATAATTTGATGGTTTTAAGGAACTTTTGGAACCGGTCATCAATCAAATCATCGCAATTTGGAAACAGCTAAATTGCCTTCACACAAAGGGATTTTTCTGCTTACCTCGAAACTTGTGGCATATTCGCTCTCAAGAAATTTGCAGGCACTTAGCGAAAGGTCTTGTTTAGGCAACTGTCTAACTATTCTTTGGGAACGTGCAGTTTCTCCCTTCGATCCTAGTTTAGGTACTTCTTCGGATGGCAGTGTTGAATAATATTGGTCTACCTGAAAAGTAGAAGGGTGTAATCAAAGACATTTCAGAAGCTCACTGAATTATTTTGATTTACCTGTCTCGCAGTGGTTAGACCAGGAGGCACAAAGGTGTATCCAAGAGTTCGGGCATCCAGTCCCTCATGTCCAACAAATCCCAAACGCGATCGGGCTCCATACTCAGCAATTATCTCATGTCCTTCTCGTGAACATTTGCAATTTTTACACGTTTTTCTGAAAAAAAAACAGTAAACATATTAAATTCAATCAAACTAAATCAGCAGCAAAACGAAAAAGGATGTTTTTTCTTTACATAGGTTAGCATTTATATAAACTGGTAAAAATCGTAGACCTGTAATTCCTGTATTAACTTTACAGAAGCAAGTTAATTTTACAATTCTCGACGATATGGCGACGCCTAGACGGTTGGAATAAGAAACTACTATGGTGTTTAATAGAGTCACCAGTGACTAGTTTTATTCCCCGGAGATAAACTGAGACAAGTCTTATACGCCCTCAAAGGCACTATTAATGATCCTTAAAACTCGGATGAAGGACCAATAAAACATACACCCAACCCGCCTTATTGCTTGTTGTTTGACCCTGTACAGATAATTAGACGTGTTAATAAGTGCATGTTCCGGGACACTTAACAGCACATCCAAATATAGACTTAGAATCTTAAGACGGTTTTATAGCAACATCTATTTGCACTGAATCATTACGCTTGGCTAACTCAAGGACTACGCAATATATTCAATACATCTTTTTTAGGAATGAATTTATGCCTTTTGGAAGCATAGTTGCATTCGATTTTCTGAAATTTCTATAAGAAAAGCCCGATTCAGTTCGTTGGCTTTAACAAGACCGTTTGCAGGGTCTCCTTATTACATTGCCACCACGGTAAATCCTCTTTACGAGCCTCCTCAAATAAACCTGACAGTAATTGGCAATAAAGGGCAATAATTTATGTACTTACTGACATTCGTAATAATTCCCGCCCAACTACAGTCAAGCAAGTGGGAGCAAATAAAACCGATTTTAGTGTTACGAAAACCAAGAGACTCGCAGGAACAATCTAAGAGAGCTTTTTTCATTCAAATTTCTTTATACGGGGAGAGGGGAACATCTTTTCACACTTATTTTGTCAAGCTTTTACTTTTTTCTCAGTTTCCTAAGAATGTTATTGGTTTAGAAAATAAAATAACTAAAACGTGTCACAAATTGTCTGGTACTGTTCCAATTGCCTGCCCCAACATAACATATTACAATGAAATTACTTTTCGTATAATCATCGCCCAACACCCGAATTATTTAATTATATTTTCGTCGATTCAAACCACTCACGTTTTTGCCGTTTTATTTTAAACTTGGAAACCGCTCAAGGTTTTGATTTAAATATTGTTCACAGGTAGCAACTATGACAAGTCATTGATGGTATTAGTCATCTTCCTGGTAGTATTGAACGTCGAACCGTTGAAAAATCACTCGTAAATATAAAATAGACACGTTAAAAAAAGCAATTGAAAAATCCCTCAAATAATAATAATCTAGCACGTTATTTAAAACTGATGCCATTCTGTTGTGAGATTTACTTCAAGAGTTTTTTAAATTTATTTATTTAATTGCCAAAAGAGTCCTCAAAGAAGTTCAATTGTATTTATATTTATGGTAACAAAATAAAACACTTTCAGCAAATTAATAGTTTATTCAGCTAATTTAGTTTCAGATTTAATTACAATTTCAAATGTAGGTAAGTTAATGTTGTTAGCTAATTCAACTTACACGAAAACTTGGTAAAAAAGCTAAGAAACTACAATCGATAAGCAGTGGAAGAGGGAATGAAGATGACTCCAAACATCACATTCCAGTTAATGTAAGAATAAAAATAAAATTAGACCAAACATTTTGGTTTGATTTTTTTTTCTTGGAATTTCATCAATAAAAACAAAAATAAAAGACAAATAACTGCAATCAAGTTTAAAAAATTGCAATTAAGAGCTACAACGGGCTAAAACTAAGCAAGTGATTAAACTACTTGAAAAATGGTCTCATTCAAGCAATGAACATTCCCGCTTGTAATTGCGTAGCAAACGAGTAAAAAAACGACGACAGTCTACTTTATGAAAATCTTTAGCATGTGAATCTCGCATTTTATACAAGAAAAATAACCAGCCAATAATTATTCGGACAGTTTCATACGATTTATCCAATCCCAACGACCTGATAACCATGTAAAAATGTTATTTTAATGTACTCCAGTCAGAGAGCAACAATATACTTGTTCTTTTTATGGCATCATAATATTTTGATTAAACGATCCTGAAAACGATATACGTTATTAAGATTTTTAACATTTTGCACATTTAAAACAGGCTCCATGATTTGACTTTAATAACCAGACCGATTTTTGTAAGTATTCCAGGCATGTTCAAATCTTAAATCCTGCCTGGCTGGGTACTACATATAGTACTTAATTAAATAGCCATTCCACCTGCTTACACCGTTTTTGTTCGATGAACAATTACTCTGAACGTTGCTCGAATGCTAATCGGCAATTATCCTGTATTTAGACATCAACTAGATTCCGTTTTGCAAATTTAACTTCCATATGGGAATCGGCGGTAGTAGACAGATTTCCTTTATTAATTTCTTAACGCCGCAAAAAATCCTACAACGTTTATGGAAGTTAGAAAAGATATAATTCATAGAAACGTCCATACTAACAGGTGCCGGTCAATGTGGGTCACATAAGGAAAACTAGGCACATTCATTTAAAATCTATGCTACTGGTCGCATGATGTTTGAAAATAATTAACTAACTTTTAAATAACAATTAATCAGTAAAGCTGGCTGATTTTTGTAGTTCGTTATGTTGGTCTGCTTTTTCGTCGAAAAAATATGAAAGTTTAAGCAACCGAAATAACTTCAAGCAGTTTGAAAACACAATGAAAGACTTTCGAATCTGTAGAATAGAAATTGAAGACAACAAATAAAAATGCAATTATAATTTTCTCATAACGAATAATAAAGCTTTTAAAATTTTATTTCACCCAAAGAAGAAAAACATTTCGAAACAAAACATCCTGCATCTTCTCCGGAAATACATTCCACACTTATTTGAAAAATCATTGTAATTAGAACCAACCACGTTAGTTACGATATTTGCCACTAAAATCAGATGATGTTAAAATAGAACAGCGAAGGAAAATGTTCATTAGCAAGATTGAAAAAACAAACAGACGTCACTTAAGAGTTTAATAAAAAGTAGGAATGTTATAGGAAAAAATAGATTTGAAATGAGGGAAGGCTAATAATATGTGTGTATTTGATTGGTAGTTTGGAAAATCCGAATAAATGGGAAAAGAAGCACACATGTGTTCAAGTGATGTGCTTTTTACTCGTTGTTTCATTTGTCTTCGATATAATTTTATGACTGATTGATAAACTTTGCATGTTTTTAAAGTGCGAAGGGTTCCCAGAATGGGTCAAAAAGCCTTAAACTAAAGTAGTTGATAAACATACAATATAAATGGTTCCGAGCAGTTGGTTTTGTGAGAATTTAATGCGGCATGCAAATGCAATGTTTTCTCATTAGTAACGGACTAAAACCTATATAATGCTTCAAAAGTAAAATAAATCTATTCCTGTTTGAATGTAAATTAAAATAATATTTGAAATCTAACGTAACGACTTGAAATAACTGGACTATTTCAAAATGTGCAGCAAAACCACCTACCAAATTAACGTCCGTCTGACGTCGACCTTTCTGCCTTAGCATGTTAAAAATCATGACTTCGATCTGTAATTAGCTAAGAAAATTAAAGTGATGAGCTGCCAAAATAATTTTATTGAGCGTGGAAAACATCGCGGCGTGAAATAAACGAATTTTTCGAAATTCGCCCAGAGTAAATTGTGACTTTGTGTAAATATTTCAGTTACTCCGTCGAATATGTTAAAATGTTTAAATGCCTGATGACAGCCTAAGCTGAGCAAGCAAAATATGAATGGCCTATTAATTGAAAAATTTTACTTTGCTACTTAGCTAGCAATAAAACCAGATAAAGTATAGAAAATCTAAATATTATTTGAATAAAAAAATGAATCTTGAATTAGGCAACCACGGCACCTATTTTCGTTTATCCCTTACATTACGTAAAACCCTTGGAATTTTTCATATTTTCGATAAAATTTACGGGACAGTAATATGTATTATGTATGTGATTATTGTATGAAGATTTTTACATGTGTTTATTATTTCTGACATACACAGGCAAGAACGAAAATAAATTGCAAATTTAACATGCAAATTAAATTAAACTAAAATTTATCGAAAACGCAACTTATCACAGTAAGAAATTGGCGAAAGTTTAAGCAAATTTCGTAGATATTTTCTACTGAATATTGAACTGAAACTGGTGAGTTTTTCCGCGTAAGCCCGTAAAACTCGCCAGTGCTTGTTGTGCCCACGAAAATTTAACTCTTTTGATAAACTATTTACAAATTATGCTTTACACGTTCGAGGAAAAAACATTACAGATTATATTTTACAAGTGAACTTCAATTACACTTTAAACGGAATACCGCCAATTCCAGTATAAAATAATGATAAAACTTTCTCGATAAACGATTCTCGTTTAAGTAGTCTTTTTAAAGTAAATGTCCGTGTGAATTTTTTCCGATTAAAAACTTGAATCACCCTGTACAACGTACGATTTATGCGTCATCTAAATGAATGACCAATTTACAGTTTATTGGACCTCAAATTCGATTAAATAATTATTAGTTTATTGCGACTCCATTCATATGGAAGTTGTCATTGAATTTTTCAGCAACGAGTAGGGTTTTACCAACACAACATTATAAGACTTAGGTGCTCAATTTTATCTTAAATTTTATTGTCGATTTTGAGTTAAATAAATTAATTTAATTTTTCGCTTTACTTTTTTAATTAAAATTATTGGAAAACCCATCGACAGTTGTAGTAGAAAAATCGATTGTAACATCAATTAGATATAACGGAGCAAACAAACAGAAGAAAAGTGGAAAGTTACAAATAAAGCACAGTGTACGTTTTGATGCCATTCAATAACGATTCTCATCACAACTTCCACAAAACATGAATATTCTATAACGAGTTCTCTAAATATAAATTAGACAACAGTGTAACTTGTGGCACCTGTATAAGAGATTCGCATTCATAACATGTTTATCTTTAAAAGGAGTTCGCTTAAAAATTTAATTTGTCATGCACGCACCTACTATTCCGCTTAGAGCAATAAAATAAGTCCAGAAGGCGAACTGTTAAGGGTGTTTAAAGCCCGAAGTTTTAGTGACAATTCGAAATCCACTTGTAAATAAAGTTGGAGATGAAAAGTTAAAATAGGGCAAAAACTGAGCAAAGAAATTGCTGCTAAGAACTTGTACGTAATAGTCCAAAAGCTTTAGCACGCTTTCAATGCACCGTCAGCGCGAAATAAATGCTCCATTTAAAGATCTACAAAAACTAAAATGACAAAAATATTAATAAACTTAAAAACAAACTGCTTCGCTTTTTCTATACAAAACGCGTGCATTTGCCAGCCACGAAATGGCCCATTTGAGCGTGTAAAAAATAGATTAACCGCATAACTAGGTTAGTATTTCAAAAACAATTAGCTGGTTCAACGCAATTAGCAGCATCTTGCTGAAATTCTGGGTAACATTAGATAGCAACATCAAAGACCCAAGATTGGATGTTTGAACAATAATAACCGATCGCTAACATACCGAACTTCAAAGATACATTAACGTATTTAGCCATTAGCTGAAAGTGAAAAATGCTTTATTGGCTTGCTGATTTCCCTTCGCGAAAGTCAAAATATTTGGAATATTTTTGTTTTCTCCATGTGGCCAAACTCGATAAGTCAATGTTTATGTATACAAAATTGAATCAACTTCAAATAAACCTACTTGATATTTAACTTGGCGATATCCTGGTCGAAAACCTTCGCGTACAGTTGGAGAATCCTTACACATGCCAGCGTCAAGCCAGACCAAGGTAAGGCCGAACTTAAATCCTTTTCCTTAATGGTCTTATTTCTAGGTTTTGTTAACATATTTTTCACAGAACTGCTACTAATATGGAACAACCCATTTCCACACGCTCACTGCCTATACCTTCAGTCACTTTCACTGCAATTAGTCCACTAATTTCCAGTCCCTTGTTTATGTTCGAGCCGAAATACATTAGTTAACGAACTTCTTATCAGTAGGCTTAATTTGATTTGTTGGAAGAATCCTTTCTGCCGAAACCCACTGGCACTATCTCGAAAGGAAGTACACCAGTTACAATACGAATCAGTTTGTTCCATGTGGCTAAATTACCCGATGCGGCAAAGCCTGACAATAAAAACATAACTAACAACCTCGAAATACGCTATTTTTAAAGTGTATTTTTGTCAAATGGGTTTGCCTTTAGAGGCAGATTAGGCAAACTTAGTTTAGATAAGATGTGTATTAAAAATGCTTAAGTATTGTGGGCTTTACTAAGTTCAGCGTTGGTGGCGGACAAATTCTAATCGCAAACGAGCCAACATCAATTTGGCTTTTTAAATGACATTCAATTTCACGCAACTCAAGCTGAAAATTATCAAATCATATTCATTCAACACACGTCAATAATCCATTTTTCGGCCAAACTTTTGAACGCGTATGAC